GGGGAAGACAGCCAGGAACGGTGGCCCAACAACCACTTTTTGGATGCCCAACATTTGCAAGGGGGTGCCTTTCCCACTTTTGCCACAGTTACCAGGCCCCAAACTCCTTTGAACTGTTCTTTTCCTATGTTACTCATAATTGCCCCCACTTCCTTCTAATCACAGACTTGGAGAGAGGGGAAAGAAAGGGAGAGGGGCAGGTTTTCCCAACTACCGGTTTACCTCTCCAATTGACTGCCACAAGCCACGAACTCCGCTGATCCGGAGCCAGGAGCCAGGAGCTTTTTTTCCAAGTCTTTCCACAAGGGTGGCAGGGGGCCAAGGACCTGGGCCATCTTTCACTGCTCTCCCCTGCCATAGCAGAAAACTTGTTGGAAGTAGGACAGCCGGGTCTCAAACTGGCGCCTATATGGGATTCCTGCACCGCCGGAGGCGGCTTTCCTGCTAGGTCACAGCCCCGCCCCAAGAAAATTCTTTAAAAAATCTTTTTTTTTACAGGCAGAGTGGACAGTGAGAGAGAGAGACAGAGAGAAAGGTCTTCCTTTTGCCGTTGGTTCACCCTCCAATGGCCGCCGCGGCCGGCGCACCGCGCTGATCCGATGGCAGGAGCCAGGAGCCAGGTGCTTTTCCTGGTCTCCCATGGGGTGCAGGGCCCAAGCACCTGGGCCATCCTCCACTGCACTCCCTGGCCACAGCAGAGAGCTGGCCTGGAAGAGGGGCAACCGGGACAGAATCCGGCACCCCGACCGGAACTAGAACCCGGTGTGCCGGCACCGCAAGACGGAGGATTAGCCTAGTGAGCCGCGGTGCCGGCCTGTCTTTCCCACTCTTTGTCTATAACTCTCTCAATTAACTAAATAAATCTTCAAAAAAAAAAACAAAAAAAAAAAATGCTTCCAATGACAGTAAACCTTTCTATATAGATATAACAATGTGAAATTCCTTCTGTATGGATAAGAATAAGTTGCATGGTCTAGTTTTGTATTCATTCAATAAATGTTTTTTTATATATTTCAAACTGAACCAATAAAAATTCATACATTGGAAATTTAAATTAAATGAATAAGGTCTCATATAAATTTCATCACGGTTTTTCTAAAGCTATGAGAACAAGCATCCTGACAAAAGAAACTAAAAATGTGTTCCAAAATTTTGCTAGTTCCTTGGTTGTTTCTACACAAGTAGTAGAGCCTTCTGCATGTTCTGATCTTCTGAATCCTCTCTGATAGGACTGCTGGCCAGAATCAGTAAAATGTCATGAGGTTTGCATATTTGCTTTATTACATGCTGTCTTTCTGTGACCTTGGGAAATGTCTTCAACTTTCTGGGATTGGAAAAGTATAGGTAGTGAGTTCAAGCTTGCTTATTTCAACCACTGTCTAGGCCGTGAGGGTCTGGAAATGTTACAGAGTCTTAGTTCAGCTGTACTATTTGTAGAACTCTTCAAGTCTTAAAGAGACTTCTTAGAAAAAGTTTATAAGAAGTTTAGAGTCTGTTTATCATAAAAGTCATGACGTTTGTTCAAACTAGGGAGATAATCTTTGTAGTTAATCTCAGGTGGCACCAAGTTGCATTATATTTCTGGTTAAAGTAAGAGCTCCTTAAATTTCCTGATTAGTAGTGTGTTCATAGTCGAGGGCACACAGCTGAATGTTTTAGTAGGTTTATCTATTTATTTGAAAGTAGGAGTTACAGAGAGGGAGAAGCAGAAACAGAAGCTTTCCAACAGCTTTTTTTTTTTTTTTTTTCCAAATGGCTACAATGGCCAAGGATGGGCCAGGCTGAAGCCAGAAGCCAGGAGCTTCATGCAGTTCTCCACATGGGTGCAGGGGCCCAAGAACTTGTATCCATCTTCTGTCATCCTCCTAGATGCATTAGCAATGAGCTGGATCAGAAGTGGAGCAGCTGGGACTCGAACCGCTGCCTTGCTGGGATGCCGGCACTCTAGATGGTGGCTTAACTCACTACATCACAGCACGAGCACCACGCAGTTGAATGATTAATTTTATGCTTATCTGCTAACATCCTGCCTTTCTTCAGATAAAGGAAATCCCTCTTTTCACAAGGACATGAAGGAGTTGACAGGTGTATCTGTTGTCTTTTCCAGATTGTTTGGTTATCTTTGCAATAAATTCCTTTTTCCTTCTCAGAAATAAACTTCTGAGAAGTTACTGACATGCACATTTCCGTTTCTTTATATGCTAATAGTTTACCATCATTGGAGGAAGTCTTCATTGAATTTTCTTATCAGTACAATCCCAGACATTCACCTTAAAATCCACCTCAGCAGTTCTTTGTTTTTTATGGGGAGAGCTCTTGTGTTTAGATAACTAAAATTTGAGGGGTTCCAACGCTGTGACGTAACGGGTAAAGCCGCCGCCTACAGTGCTGGCATGCTATTTGGGTGCTGGTTCAAGTCCTGGCTGCTCCACTTCCGATCCAGCTCCCTGCTATGGCCTGCGAAAGCAGAAGAAGATGGCCCCAGTTCTTGGGCCCCTGTACCAACGTGGGAGACCCGGAGGAATCTCCTGGCTCCTGGCTTTGGATCGGCACAGCTCCAGCTGTTGCGGCCAACTGGAGAGTGAACCAGCGGATAGAAGACCTCTGTCTGTCTCTGCCTCTGGTTCTCTCTCTGCGCAACTTTGACTTTAAATAAATAAATAAAGGTTAAAAAAGTATCAAAATGTTGAGCTATGTTTTACTTTTGACCAATGATTTTATTGAAAAGTGCTTTGAGAAATCAAAAATAAAATTATTCATGTAAAACTTATTTATTCTTACTATATTATAGCTATTCTTACTCTATTATGCAGCTATGATATTAATGTTTTAGTAGCAGTAAAACATACATTAGAATTTTGCATATTTTTCTTTTCTACAAGTTTAGTTATTTCAGTTTAATTCACGCAGATGGTAATTATTCTTATAGTAGAACGGAGAAAAAGTATAAAGATAAAAATGCAAACATATGTAAATATGCAACTTCAAATATATAATTTTGTTTTTAAGATTGGTATTAGAGAGGTAGAGTAACAGAGAGAGCAAGAGACAGAAGGAAAAGTCTTCCATTTTGTGGTTCACCCCCCAAATGCCTTTCTTTCAAATGGCTGCAGTGGCAGAGTTAAGCTGATTGGAAGCCAGAAGCCAGGAGCCTCCTTGGGGTCTCTCACATGGTCGCAGGGGCCTAAGCACATGGGCCATCTTTCACTGCTTTTCCTGGCCATAGCAGAGAGCTGGATTGGAAGAGATGGAGCCAGGACATGAACTGCTGCCCATATGGGACGTTTGTACTGCAGGTGATGGCTTAGCCCACTACACTACCGCACTGGCCCCAGTAATTCCTTTTGTAAATCAAATGTATCTGTTAGATGCTCTTCACACTCACTCACTCACTCATTTACACTCTAAAGTTTGTAACCAGAAAGTCTTATTTGTATTTGGTGTTTGGAAAATATAGCAAATATATCTGCAAAGTCACTTAAGCAGGTCAAGGGTACACAAAAATGAGACATTGATTAGGATGTCTTTATGGAGAAGGTGATCTGCACAAATGAGAGCTATCAGAATAAAATCCTCTGCTGCAGTTTTGGTCAAAGTTTTCTAATTCTTTTATTGCTTAGTCTAATAAGAAATAAAATTGATAAAGAATAGATGGTGTGTTTCCTAGTATTATATACATTTTCCTAACATCAGATGTGTTGGAAGTGACATTTTTAGGAGAAACAGGATGAGACTTCTAAACATAAATTACAGATTTTAAAAGGTACTAATGATTTTGGAAAAGAATTTTGGAAGGAGGAGATAACCACCAGTGATGGTCTAGTTACACAAATTTATTCTCAGAAGTTATGAGGCTTTATAAAAACTACAGGATAAACAAAATATCATTAACATTTGTAGTTCTATATAGTCCCATTTAAAAAGTTTTGCTTTTGTGGCCCGGGATTTTGGAGCTTTCCTCCTACATTCTCTTCTAGGAGTTTTACAATTTCTTACAGTTATTCATGTTGAGTTGTTGTTGTGTATGGTGAAATGATCCAATTCCATTCTTTTGCTTATAGAAATCCAGTTTATCCATAACTATTACTTTCAAGGATTTATTTTATCCTCTTGAAAGGCAGAGTTAGAGAGAGAGAGGGAGAGACAGAGATCTTCCACCTGCTGGTTCACTCCTCAAATGGCTGCAGTGGTCAGGGCTGGGCCAGACCAAAGCCAGGGGCCAGGAGCTACTTGGCAGGTCTCCCATGAGTGCTGGGGCACAAGCACGTGGTCAGTCTTCCACTGATTTCTGGAAATGGAGCAGCTTGGACTCTAACCAGTGACCATATGGGCTGCCAGCATTCTAGGCAGCAGCTCAACTTGTTACGCCACAATGCCGGCCCCCATTTATTTTTTAAGAAGTTGAAAAATTTTATTTTGCTTCAGAGTTGTTGCTTCATTGTATTAATACCACTAAAAAAGACAGCATATTGAAAAGTTAATATGGTATCATTCTGTATCTGACACTATAAAACCAGCAAAATCTGTTTTCTGCTTCCAGTTATTTCCTATTTTTTTTTTTTTAAGGGAAAGAGTTTATTTGGGAAACCCGACCACTGGAGGGAAGGGACGAAGAAGGAAAAGAGGCAGAGGAGAACGTGAAAGAGAGACATACAGAGAGAGAGACAGAGATCAGGAGACGGAGAGGGAGAGGGAGCGCCACATGTTCAGGAACAGGTCCCTTTAAAACTTTAACGGGGTGGGGGCAGGCAGGGAAGTAGGAGCAGTGAATCCTATTAGGGTGGGGGTGTGGCTGACATCAATGGTTGGGGTATGTGGCCACCTGGCTTCCAGCAGTGGCGGCAGGGGTCTAGAGCCTAGGATGGTGTCAGG